GATACATCTCAAGGGGACGCCTTTGGGATATAATCATTTACATAGAACCTAGGGACCCTTTTATCCAGGAAGATAAAAGTTATTTTTATTATTAATCTTTGATCGTAAGTCAGCAGGTAGGCTGTGTGACATACATATATATAAATAAAGGAAACTTGACCATAAGTCTGCAGGTAGGCTGTGTGTTGAGCTATAAATAACCTATTAACTAGGAAACTCAGATTGCACGCTCACAGTACTATGAGAGGAATAGATAGTATAAAGATTCCAGTTTCAGGTTAATTATTAATTAAGGTCTTCAGTAAGTTCTGGATCTCAAATATATTAGGTTTAAAAAAGAATGTTTTTGTTGATTAACTTTAAAAAAGAGTAATTTCGTTAATTAATTTCTTATTAATAGTAGCATAGGAATATATAGAATAAAACTTATAGAATATACTTCTAGTTCAGACAGTTGCCTATCAATGAATCGTAATTTCACTTTACATGTAAGGATTACTCAAAATAATATTTATATATATATATATTAAATTATTAAATTTATATATTTATTGTTTTATGAATTATTAGGGTTTATATTTAATGGGCAAGGTGAAATGGAAAAAATCTATGAAATCATGTCTAAGTTTTAATGACAATGATGCATTTATTTAATATTTATACTAATACAATAATACAATTTCTTCCAATATACATAACAACAATTTCCATGAATATTAATATGTATTTACACTTTACTCTCAAATCAGGTATGTCTTCAATAGAGCTCCAAAACAGGTCAGGTCATGGTTTTAATTGTCCCAGGTCAACATCATGTTATAATTGCCTTTAGAAACCCAAAATTATTTTTGAAACTAGTATGGATACTAATAAATGAGTAAAAATAAATGGCAAAATAACAATTTTGACATAAAAAAAAGCAATAATTGATGCAAGTGTTTTATATAAATAAAAATAATAATAAATTATGTTATTATTATTATTATTATGATTATTTCAGAAAAATTATTTGGTGATGTTGTATGTGAAATTGAAATTATGTGAAATTGAAATATTATGGAGTGGGTGAAATTCTGATTGGCTAATTTGAATTTCACATATGTGAATTGCGAATTCACATAATTTCATTTTCATGTACAACAGTAATAAGAGAAAACCTTATTATTATTTTTTTATTTTTTAGAATTATTATTGTTACTGCTATTTCGTTATTATTATTACTATTTCATCATTACTATATCATCATATAAATTTAAAAAAAACCCACAGTATTCCCATAAAAAATAAAATACAGAGTTGGCACAGAATGCAAAAAAAGTGTGGAAAAGACGTACAAAAGGTGCAGGAAATAGTACGGAAATAGTTCATGTAACAAAAACAAAACTTTCGTACTTTTAACAGTCTTTCCTGCACCTTTTGTGCAACTTTTCCATACTTTTTTTTTACATTCCACACCTATTCTGTATCTATTCTGTACCAATCCCATATTTTATATTTTATAGGATATAAGCATAAATTAATTAATAATGTCAAAAAGAAAAATTGAGATTGACAATTACAATAATTACAATGACAATGATAAAAGATAAATGTATTAAAATTGAATAATTAAAATAAATAATAATTTTTTTGTATTAGTTTTTTTAAGTTTTTTGCAATAAATAAAAAAATTAATCTGTGACCTGTTGACCCGACCCGACTTGTTCGGAGCTCTAACTTTATTTTCCTTGGTGTGGGTATAATTATTAGATATCCGTTAATATTAATATCCATCAATAATAATAGTATGATTGACTTGGTCTAAAGACCTCCTATTGCTGTGCTACATGCTCAAATTTCAAAAAATTGCGATTTCATGATTCGTTCAAAAAATTTTTTTAAAAAAAGGGTTTCACGTGATTTTGGTTTATCTTACTGCCAAATTTAGATATGATGGTTGATTATTAGTCTAATTTAATAATGATCATCAAAACTGGTCTAAATTTAGCAGTGATCCTAGCGCTCAAATTTCTCATGAGCATAGTAAAGTACATGTTTTAAAAAAAAAATAGAACTCTACAACAAAGAATTTTTTTGAGAAAAATTTTTTATTAAATACATATTATATCAACTAATAGAGCTATTTTTTTAAAAAGATAGGACAGAAAATGACTTCTATACTTTTAAAATTTGCCCAAAATTTAGGAGGTCTTTAGGCCGAGCCAATTATAATAATATTAATATTAATATTTTATTGTGTAACTTCATCATTAAAGTTCTTAATGGTTCGGTTTGATGAGTAAACTGAATTGAGTTTTTTGCATTCAAACTGAAACCGAACCGAACTTATTTTTAAACCAATAAAAATTTAAATTGATAGTGTTACCAGAATTAGAAATTAATGCCAATTCATTCTCTAATTCCACATTAATATATTTTTATAATTTATTTATTCCATTTTATAACATTATAATGTATTTAATAGAAATTAACATAGATTTTGCGACTTCATACTAGTACTTGAAGATCTATTTCGGGATTAAACCACTGAATCGCAATTGCACAAGTGCGGATCCATGATTAAATTGCTAAATAGTAATTAAGTGCAATATTTGTTGTAATTAGAGTGCTACTAATTAATTTAATTGAATATAAGAGTCTTGTACAGTCAAACCTCGTTTCAAAATTCATGAAACGAGATTACTAATCGCGTTTCAACGAATAATTTTTGTTTTCATAATAATAATGTGTAACAAAATTTTTAAAGTTCGTTGAAACGTGAATTTAATTATAATTCGCTGGATGAAGTTCGTTGAAGAAAAAAAATTTTTTTTTTGTGTTCAATAATAATTAAAAAAACCGAAACCGAATCATTCTGAACTTTATTCATTATTGATTAAAAAAACTGTTATTATTTAACAATCTTATTTACTGATATAGAGGTTGGAATCATCCCAAAAAAATTCTTAGTCAACTACTAGTTGGTCAAAATTTCTTTAGTCGATTATTTAGTTGACTATTTACAGTGAACCCTCCCTAAATGCACGCACTATGTATACCCTCCATAAATGCACGCTCACAAGAAATAGCACTATGTTCCCGAGGGGGTGCACTTATAGAGGGTTCACTGTAGTCGATTATTTAGTCGATTATTTTAGTTGACTAATTAGTATTAGTATTAGTTGACTATTTAGTCGATTATTTAGTCGATTAGAAATATTTTTTTATTTTCGCTTTTTCAAAATGCATCCACACAAAACCATGTGTTACGATTCGTTTTTTAAAAGGTCTTCTGGAATCACCGCTTAAATCATTAGAACTATTGGACCTTATATTGGAATTGTTTATTAGTTCACATGTAAATTTATCACCACCACTGTCGTCATCATCATATTGATACTCTTCCGCATAGAAAATTTACATTTTGAATGATAAAACACAAAAATCGTAATTGGTCAGACAAGAATAACACTAACATAGTATTAATATTAGCATTAGTATTAGTAGTAGTAGTAGTAATATTAGTAGCTGACTAATTAGTCGATTAAAATAGTCAACTAAATATTCGACTAAAATATTCGACTAAATAATCAATTAAAATAGTCAACTAAATAGTTAACTATTAGTTGTTCAAAAAAAAGTTTAGTCGATTCCAACCTTTACACTGATATATATTATATAATGAATGCTCTAATTAAATTATTAATCAGTTTCTATTACTCTATGTAATATTATAATTCTATTAAAAATGAAAATTAAAATATATATAAAAAAAAATTATAATTATTAGAAATGTACAAATTATTTAATACTTTATTGAAGCTCGGGGTGATTTGATTCATAACCCGATATGGTTTCTTTACAATAACTATCCATATGGATAGTAACGCCAAATAAACGTCTACTCTTATCACAATATCTGTTACCTTTTGCAGCCAAGTAAGTCAGTATTGTTTGATCTTGTCTGTGATTAACTCTACTACTACCAACTGGGGCTATACAATCTTTAACCAGTGCACAGTCATACCATTCATCAATCAAATATTGCACTCTGTATGTGTCAAATATCACAAAAGCCGCATTACAATTCATCAATTTGTCATATTTGCTATGATCATCTTTATAATAATCATATACGCCAGGATGAGTCCATTCATTCATGAATCCAGGTGATTTTGGTGATACAAATCCATCAAATGTCTCGGTAAAAATTTTTAATTTTTTGAATAAAAATCTTTCAACTTTTGTGCCGGAATCCAACCAAATAAGTGTGCCAGGATAATCTTTAGATACCTCTTTAATCATTCCAGGTTTCCACGCGTATTCACCTCTTCCCTCATTAATATCCCAAAATGAAGGATATTTACTAAAATTAAATACTCTTAAATCACTTAAATAATTTGAATTCTTTAATTCTTTTAATGCCATTCTTTGCTCTATTGATAATCCCAGATCATATACCACCATATTATAATCAAATCCTTCAAGCGTCTCATACATATTATAAAGAAAAGCCTTTAATGGACAAAAATGATTTCTACTTGCGCCCGTTATAATTGTAAATGATTTATTTCTATCGTTATTGTAATTATTGTTAATGTTATTATTATCACTTTCAATGCATTTGGAATCTAAATCTACAAAAGTTATAAGATAATACATATGTAAATATATGAATATATGTGCATGGTCATGTAATTTTCTTTGATTTATTTATTTACCAGGTTCAGGCACACGAGTATTAGTTCCGATATATTGCATTATTAGGATCATCATTATTACAAGTACAATAATTGTTAATATGTTTAAACGTTTAAAAACTTTTTTCTTCATATAAATGTTCATTTTCTTTTTTATTTTCTCCTCCTCTGTTTTAATTAAAGGACCCAGTTTTGCCAATTTTATTTATTTATTATTTTGTTATAATTTCTTATTTAAATATTTAAATACTTTTTAATTGTATCTTCATATATTTTAGGTCTCTTTTTTTCTTTTTGAGATAAAGGACAGTATTGAAATATTTAAATAAAAATTTTTAACGCAAAGTTCTTGGGGGGAAAAAAATGTTTAAAACCTAAATCTAGTATTTTTTAAATAGTAAAACGAAAAAAAGAAGTCTAGTATTGATTTTATTGATTTGTAAATTGAATTTGATTTTATGCGGGTGGAAAATCCGTACAAAAAAAACAAAAAAAACAAAAAAATAAAATAGATCCGGAAAACTCCAAAAAGTTAAAGGAAAAAGTCCTGTCTGATATACTATACATATAGTACTCGATACCAATCAAATTTTGGAGCAAAAAATAAAGTTACGATCCTTTCTTTCCGCAATCATGTTGTGATTTAACAAAAGTAGACAAGTGTAAATAATAATAATAATAATATATAGCAGACAAGTTATTTAAATCATGCTTCCTAAAAAATTATTTTAAATTAATTTTATTTTTTAAATTTTAAAAGGAAAATAAATGTAATAATGGAAAGACAACAACAATTAGAACAAGAAAAACAAGAAATTCAAAATCATCGAGCCTATTCAGCAATTAACCCTACTATTAGTGGTGATAATAAAAATAAAACAAAGGAACAAATTGGGATGAGGGGAATACAAAGAAGACGTCCTTATGATATAAATTATTGTAAACGAGAACTTGATCGTTACTACATCTTCTCCATCTTTACAATCTCCAACTTCATTTTTGCCCATCATCAAAACAGACACCTCATCATAATGAAGTTGCTTTAGGATTTTCAAGTCCGTACTTAGTCCTTTATCAACTTATAATAATGATGATGATGATGATGATGATGATGATGATGATGATGATGATGATGATGATGATAATAATGGTAATGATGATAAAAACGAATTTCACTTGGATGACAATAATAATTATGAAGATGAATAAAGATGTTACAGAGAAAATTTTATTGTAGAAATAATATCCTTTTTTAGGAGTAAAATTAACTTTAAGGACCAATTTTGAAACCCGGATGTTATAAAGGGAAAGAAGCCCTGAAGAACAATTTCGATAAAAAATTTTCAGTCTGAATTACTTATTACTATGAGAATAATATCTATCTTAAGGATCAAAAAAATTTCTAAGATCGGCAGGGGTTAATAAATTTCTCGTAAATTCTAATTGTAATGTTTTATGTGGCGTTATTATTATTTATTTCAATAAAACGGAACCCTCCCTTCAATATGGGATCACACTTATGACATTGTATGTTGGCTGGAATGCGGTAGAAAAATTTTTGGAGGAAGGTTGGGATTCTTTGAATTAACAAAAAAATCTACTCTCAAGTAATAGAGAAATAGTATCGTTGTCATCATATTATATTCATTGCATAACCCTATTTAATAATTTTTAATAATAAATTTCACCATAATAAGTTCACTAATATAAAAACTTAGTACAACCTTGTTATCTCAAGTTTAAATAACACAAAACTTGATCATAGCATCAATAAAAAAAACTGGATTTAGAAAAAGAAGAAATCGTTGATATTGTTGTGATGTGTGGTATTGAATTATTCTTAAAAATATGGGTTAATAAAGAATAACACACTATTTCATTATGTCAAAACAAAAATTACAAATACAAATTTAAATTCAAAATTTTCCTTATTTCTGCCATTTTATTATATATACATCCCATCTATTAAAAGTATCCGTACACCTATTTTTACTAGAGGCTAATAAACAGTTGGCCGGTGTTAAATTATTCCATTAACCCGTTATTAAAGTAATCCATTAATCTGTTAAAATAGTAGATTACCCTTAATTCCAATTTGTGATAAATGAAAAGGATCGATATGCATTTTGGCCAGAACCCTTGAATCTATTTTTAATTGTATAAAGTTAAAATGACAAAGTGTCCCACTTAATTGTGAAATGAAGCCACATTCACATTATCGGTTGATGTAAGAGAATGGAGAGTAAAAGTGAAATACAACTAAATTGATTTACCACCTATTGAAAATCTTTGTAATTATAATTTATTGTCACCTAGAAAGATAATATAAAGATAATATAAAGGTAATAATAATAATAATTGATTCATAATGAGCAGACATAAGAATTGTTCATTATTTAAAAGAACTTAAGTCATCAAATAACAACATACTAACATTTTTTTGTACACTAAAATCATAAATTACATGGTTGTGTGATTTCTTATTTATATGCTTAACCGATTAGGTTTTTTTGACCTCTAATTTTTTAGGTCTTCACGAAGGTAGTAAGATATCTCCAAACAACTGAAAATCCTGGTAGGACAAAATTGCAAAAGAAAATGTTCTATAAAAAAAACATGTCGAATATAAACGGTATTGAGGTTTTTCATCTTGTACAATTTGCACGAGCTTAAGATTTTCTGTAGAAATGTGCAAAATACATAATAAATTTGTTTGCTCACGATATAAATTTAGAGGTGCGACGGATTCAGTTGGATCAAATTTATCATTTTTTTTCTTCAATGTTATTATTCGCAAAGTAAAAGAAAAGGATAGCAAGCTAGTACACAAAATGAGGAAATAATAATAATAATAACACCAACCAATCAAGAAAAAAAATGCGAAATTTATCCTTGCAGTTGGTGTAAATATGCAAAAAACCGATTGATGTTATATTAATATAGTAACTAATTTTACATATCCATTTGCTTTCGGTATGATTGTGCACCGCCGTTGTAAAAATATTCTTCCTTTTACACCAGCTGCAAAACATTGTTATCTTTCTATTACTATCTTCACTTTGTTCAACCCAAGGGTAAATTCGTAATCGATTTGGATCAAAATCTTCACCTTCTTGTCCGATTGTTCCTTTATTTTTCGCTTTTGTGTACTAGCTGCTGCCTGTTCGGATCCTTCATTACTTTTTTCTTTATCCTCAGAGTCTACTTTTGCGAATAACAAATTTATCCATTATTGAATACTTTTTCAAAAGCTTTAATGTGAATGGAGTGAATAAAAAAGATATTTAAAGAAAATTTGAAAATTGAATGTTCACTCGGAAAAAAATCGTAACAAGGGATGGGGAAAAATTCAATATTCATGTGCATGATGCGCACAATGCACACTGCATCTGCCGATCTTTTTTATTTTTAAAAACAGATTTTTAGTCTCTGGTAAATATCATAGTGGACATTCGTTTTATCGCTTGTGACAAAATCAATCGTCAATCTTTTTTGCTATTTCAATTGAATTTAGAATAGAAAAAAGTCGCGTGACTAAAGTTGGTGTCTGTAACTGTTTTCACATTTTCTGAAACTGCAGGTTTTAAAGCTCGAGTTGCAACTTTTTCTACAACCTCTGCAACCCCTGAAACTATAATTATGATGATTTAGTATCAAAAATGGAATCACATAACTGCAAAATGGGATTTATTGTTTTTAAATAAAATCATTAATTAAAAAATTTTTTTTGATAAAAATAAATTTAGTTTTATAGTGCTGACCAATCAGAGGTTGCAGACAATTATAGACGGTTGCAGATGGTTGCAGACAGTTTCAGACTTACAGCAGTTGCAGCATTAGATGTCAATATTTTTTTTGGGTTTCAACTTCCTAGTTGCAGAGCCATCTTTATACTCAATAATGTGAATGTGGCTTTATTTCACCTGCTGAAACAAGTTCCACAATTATTCATGTACCTATTGCTTGAAATTTTATAAAGGTGTAGTTTCCAACATATCTTCTTACATAAATAAAAGGAAAATTTGACTGGTCCCTTGAATGAAGTAGAAGAATCCCACATAACAGGAGATGAAAAAGTGGAGAAGATATAAGTGAAGAACAAATAATAGCTTTAGATTTTAAAAAATGCTTTTGATTTAATTAAAGATTGGTAAATTTCAAATAAAATTAAATTCAAATAAATTATGTGCATACGTGTAGTCTTTACTCCAAACTACAGTCCATATCTAACTTTTTGATCTAGCAATGATCTGAATGATCTTAACCAAACAGTAAAGACAAAAATAATGAATGCTTTCATCCAGAAAAAATATATTAATATTTGCTACACAAGTTTACTTTTCCTTTTTTTCCATTGAAATAGAACATAAAAAAGATCAACGATCGATTTTGTCACATTTGATCTGCAACAGTGTTACTATGCTTTGTTTATATTGGAAAAATCTACGAAGAGCCCACCATACAAATAGAGGTTTTTTTTTACAAATAAAATAATGATCGAAAGAAAATTTCTTTAGAAATATGAAACGTCACTTTTTTTCAAACTTTTATACTAAAAATCTGAATTCAAATAATATTAAATTTTTTAAAAAATTTACTACTATTACTACTACTATACAACAACAGACTGAAAATTCTACACATACACACATTCAAAATTCCAAACTTCGTATACAAGTATTTATATTACAAGCTTTTTTCTAATAAAAGATTCTTGTTATTTATTTAATTATAATAATAAAATAGACATTTTACATTTATTGTAAAGGCAAAAATTGCGGAAATTGATAAAAATCGACCTTTTAGCAACTCATTGACTGATAATTTTGAACGAAGGCACACATATCTTCGAATTTCAATAACAGAACGATGCAATTTAAGATGTAAGATATTTTTTTTTGATTAATAATCCATTATAATTGTTCAATTTACTTTTTTTTTTTTTTGGTAATAGGTACTTATTGTATGCCAACTGATGGTGTTGACCTCACACCTTCCAATAAACTTCTAACTACCGAGGAAATCATACGAATCGCAAAGATATTTATATCCCAAGGTGTTAATAAGATTAGACTTACAGGTGGTGAACCTACTATAAGAAGTGACATTGTTGAATTAGTTGGTATGAAATATTTTTGTTTGTTTTATTTATATTTAAACTTATATACATGTTTTCACACATATATACATACACATACTCAGGTGAATTGGGAAGATTAAAATCACATGGCTTACAGACAATTGCTATGACTTCTAATGGAATAGCATTGAAACGGAAACTGCCCAAACTTGTTGATAATGGATTGAATCTATTAAATCTTAGTTTAGATACTTTAGATCCATTTAAATTTCAATTGATCACACGTAGAAAAGGTAAACAAATATTATATATATAAAGGAGTTGTATCTTAATTAGGGAAAAAAATTAATTTTTAATTTAAAAAAATCAAGGCCTTGAAAGAGTTTTGGAAACAATTGATCAAGCTATCGAATTGGGTCTTAAGCCTTTAAAAATCAATTTTGTGGTTATAAGAGGAACAAATGAAAATGAAGTATTAGATTTTATAGAATTGACACGAAATAAGCCTATTTATGTAAGATTCATTGAATATATGCCATTTGATGGTAAGACAATATACACACACATAAGTTTTGTTTCAAATACAAGAAATTGCTAATAAATCATATTTATTTATTCTAATTAAAAGATAACAAGTGGAATAAGAAAAAATTTGTGCCATATAAAGAGCTATTGGAAAATATTCAAACCAAATATCATAATATTCAAAGGTTATCTGATGATTTAAATGATACTTCAAAGGTTTGCTTTAAAAAAAAAGGTTTAATGAAAATTGTCATTCATTCATTTTGCCAATTATTAACCTAATGGGTTATTTTTTGCTTTGATAATTGTAAGGCATATTGTATACCTGGATTTACTGGAAAATTTGGATTTATTACTTCCATGTCAGATCATTTTTGTGGAACATGCAATCGATTAAGAATTACCGCAGATGGCAACTTGAAGGTTACACAAAATCTATCACGTTCCATTGGGCAAGTTGTTCGCCATAATACTGCTATTTCAACACACCAACTTGCAATTAAACTCCAAGTAACACACAATGTGTCTATTTCGCAACCTACTGTTTGGCGACACATGAAAAAAAAAGGTTACAAAAGTTCTGTCCCTATTGGAACTCCAATGCTAACCACTTGTCACTTTGAAGCCCGAATAGCATGGACACAAACTCATTTGAATGACAATTGGAGCCATACAATATTTACAGACGAGACAGCATTTGATCTTTTTCGTAACAAAATTCGTAGATGGCACAAAGATGGACAGAGACCAGTTCGCAGATTGCCAAAATCACGGCAAAAAGTAATGGCATGGGGAGGAATTTCGTTAAAAGGTAAAACGCCATTATTTTGTTTTACTGATATTATGGATGGGCCTTATTATGTCAACATATTGCAGACCCAGCTTTTGCCTGCTGCACAAAGTTTGTATGGTAGAAGCTGGCGTTTGCAACAGGACAACGATCCAAAGCACACATCGCGTGTTGCAAAAGATTTCATTGCTGAAAATAAGATTAATACAATTGACTGGCCATCCAACAGTCCTGATCTCAATCCAATAGAGAATATATGGTACATTATGAAGAATAATGTTGAAAAAAGGATGCCTAGAAATGTTGATGAATTGAAACAATTTATGGTAGAAGAATGGGAGAAAATTCCTCAGGAGACAGTTAAAAATATTATTATGTCTATGAAAAGAAGATGTGAGTTAGTTTTGGAAAAAAATGGCGATAGAATTTCTTATTAATTTCTTATTATTTAATAAAATAGTTTATAAGCTTTCAAATGAATATATTTTTATTTAATTATGTTATGTAATCGTTGAGTTATGTAATATTTTTGCGACCACCATTTTTTTTGAATCACACTGTATCTAGTATTAAACAACCCAAACAATGATTATTCCTACTATATATTAAGTGCAATCTTCCTTGGAGCATTTTGACACCAATTTGCATTCACAGCACATGATACAGGACATAGTGGTATAACACACAACCTAGTCATTGATAATCTGATCAGTGTGTTCATCTCATCATTTTGTGGTGGTTTGAGTAATGGATGATGGAAAAGAAATCATTATGTTCATCATATTGTAACAAATCATCCTGAACATGATCCCAACATTCAACATATACCATTTTTTGCCATCACAGCAAAACTATTTGGAGGTTTATATTCAACTTTTTATAAAAGGAAAATGGAAATTGGTCCAATAGCAAAACTTCTGATCTCTTACCAACATTTCACCTATTACCTAATCTTGTGTTTTGGTAAATTTAATCTTTATTTCCTGTCAGTCAATTTCTTGATAAATGAAGAAAATGTTCTATTTAGAAATTTGGAAATATGTGGCATGATAACATTCTGGTCATGGTACCTATTCATATTATCTTTTCTACCAAATATTTATATAGGAATAATCTACATCTTAATATCGCATAGTGTAACAATGTTGTTGCATGTACAAATCACACTATCACATTTTGGTACCAAGGAATCATTCTCAAGAAAAATGTTATGGACAACTATGGATGTTGATTGTCCTTGGTGGATGGATTGGTTTCATGGTGGCTTGCAATTCCAAGTTATACACCATCTTTTTCCAAGAATGCCAAGACACAATCTTAGAAAATGTCAATCATTGGTGATGCAATTTTGTTGAGAAGCCAATCTCCAATATCATCTATATGGTTTTGTTAAAGACAATATATTAGTCCTTAGTACACTTAGAGATGTTGCTAATCAAATTAAATTATTAGGAAAAGTTGCAAAATCACATGTTGATAGACACAACATGGTGAAAAATGAGTAATAGAATTAGAAATACAATTGTAAAAAAAAAATACACACACACACATATATACACAATTTTAAAATTTTCTATTATCAATTATTTTTTATTTTGATGGTTTTTTAAACATTTAAAATTGCTTGTTTGGCATTAGTTAAAATTTCCGAATAAGGTTTAAAGTGATGGCTGTACATATTCTTTTAAAAATTTATCAACTTGTTGTGGTGCACATCCAATAAATGGTTTTAAATCCAGCAATGATTCAAGCTGATTGTATAAATAAATATATATGTATATTAAATAGATTATCCCATCTTAAAGGGAGAGAGCAATCAAAAAAAAATTTATGAATATTACCTCATCCCAAATTGGTTTAAAATATTCAGTCTTTTTAATTCTCTCAATTAAATCATTTTCTTCACCATCATCCTTGACTTTTTTTGCAGCTTGATGACTTAAGACTCTAATCTCTTCATGACATGTCTAATGGTCCTCTTTTTTTTTCACCATTGTCATTATAATATTCTCTGTTGCCATAAAAGGCAATTCATGTGCTATATGATGTTCTATAACTTTAGGATAGACTACAAGTCCTTCCAATATATGTCTGTCATAATAAATGCCTTGGGGAATGAAATTCATCAATTGGAACTACAAACACACATATTTTTGTATATATATTTGATTTTAATTATAAATTAATCTCTTTGAATGTTATATATAACAATAATAAAAACAAACCTATCATCTAAAGTTCTTTCTAACCATTGTACACTATTGGTCATCAAGGCATTGTTATTGAGTGTCATCAGATGTCTAGCCAGACTACAAACCCTTTCACATTGCATAGGATTTCTTTTATATGCCATAGCAGAACTACCTATTTGATCCTTCTCGAATGGTTCTTCTATCTCTTTGAGATTTTCCAACAGCCTAATATCTGTAGCTATTTTATGAGCTAATCGCATTCAAAATATCCACATCAACTTTACGTGAATATGTTTGTCTTGTTACTGGATATGCTTCTTTAAAATCTAATAATTCAGTAACTCGTCTATCAAGTTCTTCTACCTAATTAATTTTTTAATTTTATAAAATGTCAATTCATATTCATGTATTGTATATTGAGATGATAGAAATTGTTTCCTTTTTCTATTCCCTCTCTCCATCATTCTTCTTGCCTTGTCAAGGTCACCTTCAATAATGCTAAAAATGATGCTGTGTCCCTGTAGTACCTTTAACACCACGAAATGCAATATCATTTTTCGCACGTTCAAAATTCCTTAATCCCAAAGTAATTCCTAAATAACCTTATCAATATTAATAAAATTTCATTAACTATCCATACATAATATATATCTTATTTTTTTTTTTAAAAAAACGTTGTTCAACCTGAAGCCAAAGTGTAGTTCTTTTACCAACAGTGGTTAATTGAGCTGGTTGAAAATGAGTAAAACCCAAAGTTGGTAAACCTTTATAGGTATCAGCAAATCTACTCAAACGATCAATCACCACAACTAACTTATTTATCAACAATTCTAACCCATTACGTAAAATAATTAAATCTCCATTATCTGTTACATAGCAACTTGTTGCTCCCAAATGAATCACTCCAGCTGCTTTTGGTGCAACTAAACCAAATGTATGAACATGTGCTATAACATCATGACGACGTTTTTTCTCTTCTATTGCTGCTACTTTAAAATCTTCTTCGGTTAAAGTCTTTTTTTAAAAAAAAATATTTAACATTAGTAAATTTTTTATAAAAGAAATGATAATAACAATAGAATAGTATTTTACCAAGTGTTCTTCCATTTCTTGAATGGCATCTACAGCAATGCCAGTTATGCCCAACTCTTTTTCAGCTATAGCTAATTTCAACCAAAGCTTTCTCCAAATGTAATAACGATTAACTGGAGAAAAGAGCGCCGCCATTTCTGGTGAAGCATATCAAGATGTTGAAGGACTTTCATATTTATTATTAACAGACATTTTTTGGTTATTTTTTTATTTTAAAAAACAAAAAAATAAATAATTTAGATTTTGATAATCTATCAATTAATCAAATTTATTATCAATTTCTGTAAAATAATTCAATTGGATAAACAATAATCAAATTTTATATTTCACCATTACCATTACTATTATTATTACTAAATCAAAGATGAATTAATCAGTCGGAAATAATATAGCATCAACATGTTAGATTCTGTTAATAAAGAATTCTCACAAAAGTGATCTTACACAAATGACATTTCCATCACTGGCATGAATTCAACAATACTACATTCATTATTATGAAATAAAAGAATTAAAGAAAAGACAATAATCACAAATGTGACTTTAACAACAATAATAAAGGAATTTATTTGATCAGAACATTCAAAATATTTATCAAAATATTTTTCTGCTCTAGAACAGAATTAAAAAATTTTATAGATAAAAAAATAAATAAATAAACATATAATTCATTAACCTCATTAATTTTTTCAACATCTTTCCTTTACTATTATCACTAGAATCTAGTTTTTATTAATTAATTAACTCGCCTTTATTAAAATCGACGTTTAAGAAAAGAGAGTTAAAATCAAGATTGATTAAAAATAACGCGTTAACTAGAAATTGCATCCGAACCTTAGCCTCCCATCCGTTGTCTGATCCGAAAGTAATAAATGCTATTACTATTACTATTACTATGATAAAACAATAGCTGGTATATCGAAATAACCATCTGATTGATGCACGCCAATAGTAAAGTGTAATATGATCATTCCGAAAATCACTGTTCCCAAACCAAAAATTCCCTTGTAACCTACAGCTTTCAATGGTTTGATCTGACATGTTTCCATGATTTTTCCTCAATAACAAACTGAAACGCAGTAAATACTTGTGCAAAATATTCATAAAAATGCTTCTGATACACTATCGTTAAGTTATAATTGCTGCTAAGAAGATCATCAGTACGTTTGATGGAAATAATACACTACTCATGATACTGTATATTGATTGATAGTATAATAATGATAGTAATAGTTACATACTTTAGCACCACAAATATCACACATTGTTGGAAACCAAAATGAAAAAATTTTCCAACCTTTCAATTCTTTAGTAGGAACATTAATATCTTCAACAATAATATCATTGGCATTAGAGTTAATGTTGGTATTATCGATACTAGTTTGGCTATTTCCTTGAGGTAAAGGCAAGTATCCATCATCATCAACAATGACACCATTTCCTTTTTAATTGTCATTACCTTTATCATCGTCGTCATTATGATACTCCCAAGCCAATAAACATAAGCAGCTAGAAAACATCAAGTTTTACCATAAATATATTCAAAGTTTGCCAAACTGGTTTGTTCGAAATATTTTTTATTCACAATTTTCAACGCATTGCATATCTTGAAGTTTAACTGCATATTAATATTAATATTATTATATTATCCTAATACGAAAATGATTTTTGAGATTCAGCCGATTGATTATAAATAAAAATTCGGTTGTTATCCTTGTGGTTATACATGTGATGGTAATTTTGCCAAAACGTAATACGTAATACGAAATTAATTACGGGCGACGAAATCAATTACGAATGACAAAATTAAATGACACCTATTATTTATCTCGTTATACTAGTATAATGACATAATTTATCAACTTTTTTTAGAATTATAGAATTTATTCTGTTATAACGACATGTCAGTATAATGGGAGAACCAATCAAAATCAT